TTTTTTAAGGCATCATCTCTTCCCCTCAGCTCATTTATTTGCCATTTGGTGGATTTTTGTAGTATTTTTATGAAAAGAGGGCCAGCAAATAAAGAAGTAAATTATTAAGCCCTTAACTATGCTCTGAGAGAAATATGAAAAGAGCTAAATTGCACAAAACGAAGGAATTTGAAAACCAGGTGAAATTCTAGAATAAAATCCCACTGTAGTCACTGCCATAACAAAGTATATTAAAGGCCCAGAAAATAATGCTCCGTTAGTCTGGTTAGGAATAGAAGGCCATAAATAATTCAGAAAAAGGCAAATGCTCATACATGAATAAAGAAATTTGTTCTTCAAATTTGTTATAAAACAGAAAAGGCTAGGTTGCAACTGAAATTTTTCACAAAACATTCAATATGCTAAAATATGGTAATGATAGATGCAAGAGGTAGATAAAAAGGGAGGGTCTCCGGAGATTCTCCGACCTGCCAGCGCACTGGGAATCGGGATGGAGCCACGGAAAGTTCGCGCGAGGGAAGGAGCCTGGCCTCTTCAGTTCCCATACGGTGGCCTGGTATTCAATCTGTGAGATGAGGGCCTGTTAGAGGGACCCCTCTCACTTTGCTGGATGTTTATTTTTCTTCTTTTCCTTTTTTGCCCAATAAATTCCACTCCCCTCAAAGTGTCCTTCAGTGCGTTTCCAATCCTTCCTGGTCGTGTGACAAAAACTCAGTTTTAGCTGAAATAAGGTACAAAGTTCTGCATCATTTTTGGTGCCCGAACGTGGGGCATGAGGAAGGGTAAGATGCAAACCAAAAAATATTTTCCCTTTCATTTCTAAGCCTTTTTGTCCTCAGACTTCTGAGGTTAGAGGAAATTATGCCTTCCCCCAACTCCTGTCGCTCCCAGGAATCGGGAATGTTGGCCTTTTCCTTCTTTTTTCAAGATAGACAGCGGTGGCTATGGCCAAAATGCCCTGTGTGACAAGTGGGCCAGCATTCCCCACCACGTCGCTCTCCCTGTCGGAGGAACCATCTGCCTAAGAATGAGAAGCTCTTCCCCAGGCATCTTTTCTTTTCTCCACTCTGTCAGTAGTTAACACGGCCTTGCATTTAAGCTGTCTTTTCCTTTTCTCCACCAGGTCAGGAGTTAACTGTAACTTTAAAGTGAGGTTTTTTTGTTTTTCCCAGATGGTGTTTTACTAGGCCAGGAAAAAGGATCACTGTTTATTTCTCGGTAAGTTTTTAATTATGAAGAAGGATTTGTGAGGTTGGTCTTAAGCTGTAGCCAATCTGGTGTGTTTTGCGTGCCTTTCTGTATGATCAGAAGCAAACTTTGCTGCAGGCCTCCATCTTATTGTACCTCCTTGGAAGTGTGACTGGCAATCACTTGGCAGTGCTTTGTTTCTCCTCTGCCATTTTACAATGGCGGCCCAGGTTCAATCCTGGCTTACAGAAAGAGCTCTTTCTGGTTTAATATCTATGTGACTTTTGTTATTTGTTGATTCTCTTCCTTTCCACGAACTGCCTTGGATATTCCTTTCTCTGAGCCTTTAGTAAAGTTTGAAAGCCAGAAATACTGACCACTTGGTGCAGCTAAAGTCAGACAACAAGGGATTTAAAAGAATTTCCTTAAAGAGCACTCAGCTTAATTAAAGGTGGACATCCAAATTGTAGGTATATTTACAAGGCCTTCATGTTTTTTCCTTCCTGGATCTTGCTTTGCTGGAAAAGGGCTTTTTCTAGTCAACTGAATTACTTATCTTCATTTTGCCTTGCCACCCTTAATGCTTGCATGATGAGGGAAAAGTCCTCTGTTTTCCTCATGAGACCCCAGGAATTAAAAGTGAATAGATCCCTCCTAATATCTGTTTTTGCCCCCAGTTATGCCTATTGATTAGGCCTTAGAAGCAGCATGTTTTTCTAACCCTGTCTCTTTATGGGCTCAACCTGGAGGCAAATAATCCAATTAGGAGGCGGGCAAACAAAAAATCTTATGGCTACTGGGTTTTCTTGTGTCGTGTGGTTATATATGTATTATATGTGTGATGTCTATAAAAGGCGCTCTAATTACTTAAAGAAGGATAGGTACTTGGATCAAATATTGAAAGTGAAGACAAAAGCTGAGGTATCTTTTAGCTCACGTGACTTTAATCTTTGAGAAATAGAATTGGCCTAAAGATTAGTGATAAAATGTGGATGTCAAAATGTAAATTTTTGCCTAGGGTAAGGATTGTTTTGAATTAGATAAGATAAAGCTAAAAGTTGTTAAAGGATTGTAAAAATTCATCTTACAAAAGAAATTCCATGTGTGAACATATTAACTAAATTTAAAAGGGTATAATAGGGGTTTTTTTGCAAATTGAGCATTGAAATAAAAGCACAACAAGGTACTCTGAAGGCACTAATCTCTTTGGCAAAATTTTTAAGGGGTTATAAAAGGTTTCTGCTTTTTCAAAAATTTCTGAGTCATCATTTTGGCAAAATAACATGGTAATCTGGAATTCTATTTCATAACATCGAGTGTTCTGACCCTCTAACAGGCTTGCCAAAATCAAACTTCAGTTTTGAAATTGTCTTTGCTGACACCTGGATTTCTGGATGCTACAGAGGGCCCCTGGAGCATCCAGAAGAGAGATAAACAGGACTATCTGACATGTTTAGGTACATGGTATTGCCAAAATGATGTTTAATCTTCTTCAGGTTATATCTTGGGGAACAATATTATCTTCCAAAATTGTATAGGATTTCTAAAATTCTAATGTCTGAATATGTGCTATCAATCACAACGTTATGTTGTTGTAAACTATGGAGATAACAATTTCTTTTTCAATTGTGTTTCTGACTGTAACTACCCTGGATATTTCATTACTCACAGACAATTGTCTTGTTTTGATCCTCTTCAAAAGATGGTTTATAATCAGCTACAGAACTTTGACAGGTGCTTTCAATGTAGATTTCTGATAACTTGGGAAATTGTGATATTGGAATAAAGGAAAAATGTGCACGACTCATGGAGAGTTGACATGTTCACAAATATCAAGCAAAATAAGAGTTAACTAAATGGACTGAACTAATAGAAGACCAAAGTAATCTTTTTGACTTTTGCTTGAAACATTGCTGATCCTTGTTTTTCAGAGTCAAAGGAAACTTATTTTGAGCTATTCGTGGCCTTTAATAATTAAAGTATAATTCTGTGAACAAAATTTGGAGCATATTTGTCTTTCTGCCTCACTCCTCCAGAATTTGGAAACTAGTTGTGAGTATTCTTAGCTTATGGCAATATGGTTGTTTGTATCAGTGCAGTAAGAATCCATTTTCTTTTGCAACAGGACGCAATTGGAGAAACTGGTTGTTTTACCAAGGTTTTGACTGGAAAGGTATGCTTCCCTTTAAGAAGTCAAGCTCTACTTGCAGAGCTAATAAAGCCCCTTGGGAAAACTGGCCTCATAGCTTGTCTACACAGTCCCTGTACAGGGTTCTTAACCTGTGGTGAGTAAAGAATGTCACTTTCCAAGAGGCCTAGGAACCACATGTTCTTGGGACCTTATGAAGAGAGGAGTTTACCCACTCACAGGTATTTAACGGTACAAACTCACTTGTGGACTTGGCTTTAGAAAGTCCTGAGATTCCTTGGGGAACAGAGTTCCGTCAAAGCCAATCTAAAAGACCTATGTAAAACTAATTATTTGGGCTGGGCATGGTGGCTCACATCTGTTAATTCCAACACTTTGGGAGGCCGAGGTGGGCAGATCACCAGCAGTCAGGACTTCAAGACAACCCTGGCCAACATGGTTGAAATCTCATTTCTACTAAAAATACAAAAATTAGCCAGGTGTGGTGGCATGTGCCTGTAGTCCCAGCTACTCAGGAAGCTGAGGTGGGGAAATCACTTAAATCCAGGAGGCAGAGGTTACAGTGAGCTGAGATCATGCCACTGCACTCCCACCTAGGCAACAGAGTAAGACTCCATCTCAAAAAAAAAAAAAAAAAAAGAAAAAAAGAAAAAAATTATTGCTGCACTTTATGCAAATAATGGGGCCAAGTATAAGTCTAAAGTCTATTTTGCAAATAACTCAGTCCTATTGTGTTTTTTTTCAACAAAAATGAGGACTGCAGAGAGACAGAAATATTTGAAAACTTGTCATACAATTGTCATTACATTCTAGACTCATTAGTTGTTTTTAAGTTCTTGCCTACATTTTAAACTAACTCTGCTTATTCCTGTGAAATCAACCAGCAATCTCTGGCTGCAGCTCAGAAGGAGCTAAGGGGTTGGGTAGTGTAAAAATCTAGATCAATATTCTAGTTCTAAGCAATTATCTTGAAAATCCTGCCAAGCGATGGGAATAAATAGGATGCCCATCACCCAGAGGTTTCCTTTTTGGGAAAATAAGACCACGGGAGCTAACCAAAGCCCCCTTGCACCCAAAACCCAGGCCAAGCCCCATGCACCCAAATCTTAGCAAGCATAACTATAGCAACTAGTTATCTGGGTGTGTCACAATCATCCTTTTCTCAATTACACAGTGTCACCTTAGCATTCGGCTTATGATAAGGAGTCCATACAACTCCCTCAAGATACATTT